GTCGGTCCCGAGATATACAGAAGCGACAAGCAGAAAGGTCACCCTCAGACTCTTCGCTGACAATGGAGAAGCTGTGGAAACCATAACTGCGGTGATAGTTGACCCAATAACAGGAGACCCGATTCCATATGCCCCATGGGATGTATCAGAAGAGAGCGCCCGAAATGCGAATCAGGCAGCTATTGACCAGTTATGGGATCTGATACCTGAAAGCGACCGAAAAGATGCCGTGGTTCAAGCAAGCACACTCATCAGCATGATGCGGCATCGAGCGGAGATCGATGGAGCACATTTCCGACTCACAAGACGAATGGAAGATGGAACGTACAAACCGGTATTTTACGACGCTAAGAAGAACCCTTTGTGGGAGGTCGCCTCACAGGGATCTCCGAAAGAGACAAGACACTTGGAAATTCATCCCCCGGCACAAGAAGGCGGAGCCGGAGAGACGGAAGAGGCGCAGGGCACGTCGGCAAATATAACTAAAACAGGAGGGGCCAGACGTTCGCTACAAAGAGTACTTGAGATTGCCCAAGGAAGTCATGAGCACCTTCAGTGTGATGAACCAAACTGTGCCCATTGTAATCCACCTGGTGACGACGAACCAGAGTCGGAAGACGAGGACCCACCTGAGGAAGAAGGCTCAGACGAAGAAACGGCCGACAAGCATAAAAAGCCCTTAAAAGTCAAGCCCTCAAAAGTCAAACCGAGAAAAGCGCCCAGATTGGAAGAGGCCATGAACCGTGACAAGGTTAAGAAAGGCGATTTTCTCAAGAAACGACGGGAGGAAGAAGATAAGAAGAAACGACAGGAGGAAGAAGATAAGAAGAAGAAGAGCGGTGACGAAAGCGATAGCACAAGCACCGGGAAGAAGAAAAGAGATGAACCAGCGTCGCATGATGTTGAGATATTGGACGAGTCAGTTGGCGAAGTTGGGGAAAGGTCATCAACACCTACGACTTCAAAGAAAGTTATCAATTCGGCTACGTCAGAACCGTTAAAACCCAAAGGAAAAGTCATAGCAGTGAAACAAGTTGTCCCCATTGTCATTTCCGCATCCACGCCAAAAGAGCGCAAGGACAAACAGATTCGTGAAAAAGCGAAACGGGAGACGTCGCGTGAATCGGAGGCATCGGAAGTGAGCCTTCCAAGCACTTCGACGGTCAGTGCAAGGTCACATACCGATTCGAAAACAACACGGTCAAGGACTACTGAGCCAAGAAGCTTAGCGGAAGCTCTGGATAAAGGGAAAAAAGCAAAGAGCGAACCCGTTAAGACCAAAGGAAAGGGCAAGACAGTCACGAAAATCGATGCATTAGCGACGGTTAATTACACTGAACCAGATGGAGAGAGTGAACTGGACTTCACCTCGGATGAAGAATTTGATGGTCCAGATGATGATAATTTGAACACGGTCGATGAAATAATCAAAGCGTACAACGGAGCTGAAAAGAATTTCACACGAATAAGAACAGCATCGGTGACATCCAAATTTAAAGCAGGCCTGAAGACGTATTTGAAGAAACAACATCGTAGCTTCACTAAACAAAAGTTCGACGTCGTATTGGAATTCGCGCGGAACGCAGGAAAACTTATACAGAAGCACCCGAGTTTTTCGTATGGGGCCAAGTTGTTCAGACCAGCCAGTTCGGATAAAGCGCTGACAACTCCGAATGAAGCGGTCCCAATGCGAGTAGAAAGGGCAATCGCGGGAATGACAAGCCCATTAGGGTCAACGAGTCACCGGATTAGCCAATACATCAACGCAGTTTGGAACGATGGGAACGGGATGATAAAGGAGATCGACACGGCAACCGAACGCGTACTGCCAAAGTTGATTAAACAGAACGTCCTTGCCACGACAAACGCACATAAAGGACACCCGATCCGATACACGAGAGTTGGTCTAATACCACCGGAAAGACAGATCCACTGTAATATGTCCGACAGTCAGGATATGGAAAAGGTCACAGTTTCATCGAAGACAAAAGGCCCAATGGATTCGGAATCGGAAAGCGACGACGACGCTACTATAACGGCTCCTTCTGGACTTACGACAGAAAAAGACGAACAGTCGAAAGGTCCGAAGACATCTGAAACTACCGCAGAAGTTCAACCGAAAGGTCATGAGGCTTCAGACAAACGGGAGAAAGAAAAGGTCATGCTCCCGATGGATAAGGCAGCGGCAGAAGCTGAAGCGGATTCGGCGCGACAGGTGTTTCATAAATCACTGTTCATACCATTAAAGGAGGTCTTTGAGAAGGAACGATCCAAGTCGGTCGGCGATCTAAAAGGTCAAGAGACTTTGCCGCAAGAGGAGAAGAAGATAGCCGAACCAAAATCAGCGGGGTCATCATCAGGATCATTGGCAAAGCTGAGAATCGACGAAACAGCGACAGCCGACCCAACGGATTCGGCATCCTCCCAGAAAAGTAGCGGCACACCGGCAAAGGAGGCTACAGATTACACGTTAGGGCCGGCATTGGACGTGAATAATCGTACATGGAACGAAGTCCAGGCTGCGCTCCAGATTATTCGGGAAAAAGAAATGCTTGGTACAGACCTGAAAAGACAAGTGGCAATAAATACGAACGGAAGGTCGTCACTTAACATGACTGAACGAGCTCTGAAACGAGCATATAAAGAAGGAAAGCTGGGATGTAAATACAATAAGGATAACAAAGTCGTTTACTACCTCCCGAAACAGGGTCAGGAACGAACGCCCAGATTGAAAATGGAACTGGAGGCCTGGAAGATAGCCATCACAGACGTGGCTTTGGACGCCATTGGCGGTACCAATGGGGCGTCATGGAATGACCTTTCGAACTTCATGGCCGTCAATTACGAATTGGGAGATTTGAATATTGAAAGCGATAAAGAGTGGATTAAGAATGCCGTTGAAGCCTTGATCGCGGACGAAGTGCTTCATATTAATCCAGATGGCCGAATTGATTTCAAGCCGTATAAACCATCGACGAAAGAATCCGAGTGAACTAATCGAGTGTAATATGCAGCGAGTAATGAACCCTGCATATTACAGAAAAGCATAAACAGTTTAAAACGAAAGAGAAAAGTGTTACGAAAGGTCAACTGAAAGCAGTACTAGGACTAATAGAAAAGGTCACAGTAGTCAGAAAGTGCTGATAACGTGAGAAAGGTCACCACGTTACAGGAACAAATAGGCAGACATCGATCAGTTTACGGGCTATAATCCAAAGTGTCCGGACTGCTTAAGGAATAACAAAAAGGTCGATAAGAAATTCCCTTGCTACACTTGTATTCACAAGCTGGAAGACCCACATACCGTCACGCTTGTTGGGATCATGGAAGCCAAACGTGGGAACTTGGACGTTTTTCGAAATCTCATAAGCGCAAGAAATTACGGCAGCATCCCAGTAGAAGAGCGAATGCTATTCGAAGATCGTTATCGAGAAGCGATCCGGAAACAACGAACCTGGTTGGGATGACACCTTGGAACCGTTGAAATGTCCACAAACAGACGCGTATCGAAAGAAGTTTGAAGAAGATCAAGAGAAGATGCGTGTTCAGCAAATGGAGGATGAAATCAGAGCGAAAATTAATGCGGAAAATAAAAGAGCAAGTGAACAGGCCGCACGGGAAGCATTGCCCAGTACGTCGGGTTTAGCTGCACCCACGGGCATGGCCAGCCTTAATGAAGACGAAATGCAACTTGTACGACAGTCGCTCATCATACAAATCGAAACGTTAACGAAAGATCCAGCTGCTATGTCAGACGAGATATTCAAAATGCTGCTGCGGGAGAAGAAACGACTGCAAGACGGGTTCGCGCCGGCACCATACATAAAGAAGGAAGTCGAAAGACGTATGGATGATCTGCGTAAATCTCGCCGAACCGAAAGCGATGTGCTGCAAGCACTCAGAAGTTTTAAACGGGACGAAGGTTTCATTCGACCTCGATCGCCTCCGCATAGAGAAAGGTCACGCGGACATTCACGTGAACATGAACGGATTTCTGAAAGACGGAGCGAAAGGTCACGTGAACACTCTCGCGAAAGAACACGTGACTACCACAGTGAAAGGTCACGCGAACACTCTCGCGACCGAGATTACCGTGGCGGAAGAGGATGGGTGCGCCATGGAAATGAAGTAACAGAAACGGGTGTTCAGAGGAAAATCGACACGGCAAAGATCTTGGCAACCACAAGAGGACGTGAAGAGAAACGGCGTGCGGAGACATTCCGTACAGAACCCGAGAAGCAAGGACATCAGGTGCCGATGGGAGTTGCATTCCGGAATCGCAATGTCAGAATGTAAACACCTGAAAGGTCATGGGACAAAAGACGCGAACACACGCGGAATCGGACACCCGACCCACAAGATAAAAGATGGCAACAGAGAGCTGCATTTTACGCGACCTGTGACTCGGGCGCAAGTAAAAGGTCATCAAGCACCGAACGGGAAGATTCACCTCCAAAGTATCAGCGGGTGGAGTCAATGGTTCACGTCGTGGATCCAATTGTGAGCGTCGTACAAGAAGACAATGCGATGGAAGGGACCAGCTCGATTGCGGAAGCTCCTCAAGAGAATGTAACTCATCGACGGAACATAATTCTGGATACTGACCTCCAACCGGCTACACCGGTGAGTAATGAACCGTCGCAGCCTGAGTCAGGAGAGAGACGTGAACTGGAAGGTCAACGAGAACCGGATAATCATCGCCAGGCTGATCAGCGACAGAACTCCAGATTTGACAGCCGACGTCCTGAAAGTATTGATATGGAATACAACACGACTGATATCGATGAGCAAACGGTCGAAATTTGTCGATACTTTGGTATTGAATCGGATTCGGTCGAAGCTAACAAAATTGGCACAATTCTGCGACAGCTGAGTCAATTCTTACTTGATTCGGGTTACGCGAAAGAAATTAAAGAGGGAGTGGAACAAGGAATTTTTCGTCGATTATTCATCCACCGCGATTCGGCACGGGATTGTTATCTCCCTATTAGGCGGAATGGGTTACACAGTTTGGTCGATTTGAGCCTACTGGATGTGCCACTGGATACAACGGACCCAATTGGGATGACCCAATTTTACTATCGCGACTATCCGGAACGACAAGAATACGTGGCCCAGTTCGTTTTACGATATGTGAATCCAGCTTTCAAGTTGTTAGCTGCGAGAGCATCGATCGGATTACAGGTGGATCCGAAGGACTATGCCGCAAAAGGATGGGGCAAAAGGTCTTCGCTGCGAGATTGGCACATTACAAGACACAGAATCAATTGGTGTCTAATACTATGAAGGACGACATTCCACCGTTCTTCCGAGCTCATGTCGCTAAATTGGGACAACCCATGGAACATATCAGCATAGCGCACACAGCTCGAAAGGCGCTGAAAAAGTGTAAGACACGAATGGAAAAGGGCAACTTGATACAGCGCCATGCCTCCCAAGTCGAAGAAAGGGTCAACAAAATCAAAGATTCCCTGGGAAGTGACTACGTCGAACCAGTGGACGGAATTGAAACGTACATCGATGAATTCCTAGTTAAGAAAAGCGACCGACGTCCGGAACGTGCTCCCAATCAGATGGGACGACGCGGTATACGGAACCAGCAGCTTAGGGAGAATCTCGCTGATGTGCAACGTCGCCTAGCTAACGACCCCGATAACCGAAGACTGCGACTAGAAGAAAATGACGCACGCCATCGACTTGAGGCGGTTAAGCGAAGTCGCCAAGGTAAAGGTCGTGGCCAACGCGAAGTCGACCCGACAAAGGTCATGGAAGTCGACTCGACGGAACCAGTTGACCGAACTTCCGATCGAAACCAACCGGAAAGCGCTAAGAAACGCCCGCCAAGAGATGGCGAGGGCGATTCAAATGAAATGGAATAGCGCTGATCGTTAGGATCACACTATTGAAAGGACGTCTACGGCAATTTGTCGGTACGTCACAAAAATGAAAAACGGTGTTGTATAAAGGGCGTGACATTCGACATGTTAACATTAACTGTATTTGTGTATTGTTGTTTGCAGCGTTTATAGCACAGAATTGCCTAAAAGAAATCATGTGGAATATCTATTGGGGTTGAAATTGATTCGGTCTATAAAGCCGGCCCCAAGGGAGTTGCTACGGCAGTTAGCCGGCCCTCCTCTCTAAGCGACTCAGTGTTATAAATGCACAAGAGAAACTACGGTAATCAAGCCGGATCTCTTGAATACGAAACGGGACCACAAGCGGCGAAAAAGAGAAAGACAACAGGTGGAATATTGATGAGGTTAACTTAATGCGGCAATCAGCCGGCTTCATTAGAGTTGTTACGGTAAACTGCGCCGGCACTCTTTTCAGGCGACTCAGTGTCAGAATTAAAACGAGAAAAACTACGGTAACCAAGCCGGGTTTCTCGTAGTAATGTTAGCCACAAGCGGCGAACAAGAGTAAAAGATTAAATGTGGAAATTTCATGGGGTAAACTCAATGCGGTAATTGGCCGGCCCCATCAGAGATGCTACGGTAAACTTGCCGGCACTCTGGCCGCTCGAGGCATACTGAAGTTGGATGTGCGACGGAAAAGGTCAAACTGCAAATTTTACCAGGGAGGCAAGCAAAGAAGTGCTTGAAAGCCGCAGAAAATCGGCTAAGTCCCTCCATGACCTTTAACGGAACTTTGAAGAGAAGCTGGATGACCTTTGGGATTATCAATTGCCCAACAAAGTCACCGGTAATGGAATCAAAGTCGCATGACCTTTGGGACCATTAACCCAAAATGAGTCGCACATCTCAACGGATCATCTCAACAAAGGATGACCTTTACCAGGGAGGAAGCGAACTACGCTTGTCTACATGACGTCTCTCCATGACCTTTATGGATCTCATTTTGAAGTCGTACAATTGATACGCACCATATTCCAAAGATGAAGCAGTATTCCTAAGTCGTACTTGATACGCACCCGATTCTCAAAGCGGATTGTGATGAAAGTCGCATTACGGATGCGCGAAGTTGCTCAACGGAGCGGAATGGGCCAAAGTGCGGAAAACGGTGGACAGGACCTGTGACCTTTACGAGTCAGAAATGGAGGATCCTAGTCTACATTTTGATTAATACTTTTGTTGATCTGTTTAACTGTTGATCTGTTTTCTGATAGTATTTTTATAATTGGATCTCTTTATTCACATCGTATTAAATGGAATTGTGCCTTATGGAATTGATGTGATATGATAAATGGATTAAGAGAATTTGATGTTTTTGAGCGCACACAGACACCGGCGACCGTCGTCTTCTCGTGGATCCGGGAGTGTGTCCAGCCTCACAGGAGCTCGGCATCCCCCCAGAGGCATGTGAGACCGGGATCACTAGCGTTCACGTCAGTGGCGCTACGCCTGTGGCGCTACGCCTTTGGATTACGTGTCTGTGTTGTGTCTCTTGTGATTGGCTTGCGTTCTGATAGTGGGCGCGGCATAGCACGTGCTGCACAGCGTTGCACGCTGTTGAATTGGCTCTACGTTTTACGATCGAGCTGCGCCGATCACTTGTTGATTTTCTGTTCTCCAGACTTTCAATATTAAAAAGTCAGCAGTTTACGGTGCGACGTTTTGTGATTTCGCAATAGTTCGCAATCCAGATCGTATTGCTCACTTCCACGGGATAGATTCCGTTTCTGTCTCCGTCTGTGGATCTATTCTGGATCTACCATTAGAGCAGTTAAATGGCCCCAGATTCCAAAACTCCATAAAAAATTCTCAAATAATGGCGGTGTTTTACCATTGGTGGCACCACGAAAAACTCGCGTGTAGCCAATAGTCACAGCGCGAGAGTGCTCTCGCGCTGTGACTACTGTCTACATCCGAGAACGTGAATGAAAATAAAAGCTTGAAAATAAAAGCACTTCTAAGCTGAGAACCATTATTGTATTTATTACTGCGATTGTATCGATCACTTTAAAAAAATCTGTGGCTATGCTTTTCTACCGCACAATAATAAGTTTATTTAGCACTTCTAAGTCCAGGACCAAATCTAGCCGATGAAGTTTGTTCGGCAACGTGTAGAGATAACTCAAAATAAGTACGTAAATATTCTAGCACTTTTAGAACACACTACAGGTACATCAGATAATTCTAAAAGTTAGTGCATTTCTTAAACCGGCCTCAGAGGTGTCCGTAGCCGAAAAGCTGTTTGCCTCCAATACGAATAGAATTTTAAAAGACATATTAAGATAAGGCGGCTTACCACTTGGGCAAGTCTTTTACCGCAAAATCTACGAACATGCCCACAGGCTGACACAACTCTTGTGCTCGAGAATTCTACTTACCCGAATTTCCTTGCTGGTGCGCAGTTCCCTGCGAGTGTTCAAGAACGCTGCTATCAGATAATGTATTTGTATGTAATGGTTCATTACGGACTGAAAACACCAACTGACCGAGGTCTATATTCAATAGCGATGCTTACCGCCGCCAAGGGAAAGCGGATATTTTCGAGACTATTAAAATTATTACATTTTTTAGATAATGGCTGTTACTATTATATGCTAATTGAATACGATAGCTTGATGCGAGCGTTACGTAAATGTTCCACGATACAATTGAGCAACAGCAATGCACAGCACGATAACAGCAACAGTGGAATTTGTTGTTCGGTAGTAATGCGTAACAGACGAGCGCCCACTGCGCACTGTTGCGTAGTAACAATAGTGTATTGTAACGACTTTCGAAATTTCCGCGTACTACCAGGAACACGCTTATGTGCAATAATAATATTCGTAGTTTAAAAACTTAATCAAATTCGATTAACCAAACTTGGAAGGCGTCCTCCCATTTCGATCACCGATATCGACTTAGGCACTAATGTCGCTACAATTATGTGCAATGTCAGAGCGATCTGCTGCAATGGGCAGGTACGATGTGCCGGTGCGTACGTATGCACAGGCACGCACAGTACAGTGCTTACACCGGTATCCTGCCACTTCGGCCACCATAATATATTTGAGCCGAGGCGAGCTGAAATCAGGGGATTACATACTAGTTACCGTAATTATCGAATTTGTGGCTCCCCCCGCAATAAGAGCCCCCCCTGAAATAAGCCCCCCTCCCCGATCCTGTTTGAAAAATAGTGCCACCCCCCGAAATTACGCCCCAGGGGCCGCTATTAAATGTCAAGCGCTGCAAAATGATAAGTACACCGCAAATTTCTTCCTAACAAATATTTTAATTTGATGGGTAAGCAGTAAACGGACATCAACATAATGCGGTGTTTGTTGAGAAACAGCTGCTTAGGTAAGAATATGCTCCAAAATGTGTGTTCGTAAGGTCGTGTAGTTGGATATACCGGTAACTGTTGCGTTCAGTTTCACTAGAACAGAATGCGCAGTTGTTTGAAATATAATGCCCCCTTCCAAAATATACCGTTTGAAAAATAATGCCACCCCCCGAAATTACGCCCCCTCCCCGAAATAAGCCCCCCTCCGCCATAACCTTCGAACTATTTGCACCCCAGGGCCACAAATTCGATAATTACGGCAATACATAACACGAGACAGGCGCGTCATTTCATTATATAATATTCAACAGACGCCTTTAGGTACTCCATTGGCAGATCCGGCCGCTGCCTTCTCCCTGCACACACTGCGCTGAACAGCGAGCAATGTGAGGCCAAACATCCGTATACCTCACTCTGTGGGGCAACTTGTGCGGGCGGCTACAGTATTTGAAATTAACGATCAATCGATCATATAAATGAGCTATCGCAAGCTAAATGAGCTATCGCAAAAAATTAAAAATCGAAAAACACCATTACTATTTCTAGTGCAGAAAACAACTTGCAAATTGTTAGGTAAGCTTTTTCATTGGGTTTTAATTTGTAGCACGACGTACGCTGCTTGATTACTAAAGCTGATAAATAATTGTAAGCCAATTGGCAACTGGCACAACTAATTAAATTACCGTACCCAGGTGCTAAATAATGCAGTCGCAATGTCTACACTCCATGCAGTAGCCAAAGAAATTAGACTGTATTTACTTTTATTCTGATATCATTGGAGGGACCATAAATGTTGTAAAAAACCGTCTTTTGTGGTTATCCTTGTCTGCACTGGCCTTGATAAGCAACTCCTACCCCTGAAAGATGTACAAAAAGATTGTAAAAATTTTCTCCAGGAAAAGCTACAACCGAGACAGACAGGAAAACGTAAGCAAATTATTTCTACCGCTGACTTTATTGCCATAATAATTATGTGTAGGAATTAAGGCACTGGGGATTTGTTGAATGCTATAGCGGAGTAGAAAATGCGCAAAATTTTTGTATTTGCTTGCATTTGTACCTTGACACTGGGCTTGGCAAGAGTTTGAATATGTGACACCGTTTGTTCCGCACACCGGTTTGTAGATTGCCGGGCAAATACAGCCTCCACTGATCCCGCCTCCTTGAGCATGGCTGGCGGCTGTGGGTTGTCAAAAGAAAGTTATGAAGTAAATATTGCACAAATATCAGACAAATGTTTTGCACATTGTAAGTACCTGCGAACGCGAGCACCAACAGAACTGAAAACATCAACATCTTCATTTTAACACTAAAGCACTGTTACTAGGTAGTTGTTCGACTTGTTCCGCACAAAGCGAGAAGAAATTTAAAAAAAACTACTGGATGAATTACACTTCGACGAATCGAAAGCGAGAATATTTTACTGAGGCTCGTGCACTTTATGCGCCTTTCCTTAAATACGAGTATATTGCATTTAGCACGTGGCTGATGGGATGTAAAGTACCGCGACTGCCTTTTGTTATTATTTGCCGGATGTTTTACGGAAATATCGTATTTGCATTATCAAGCTAACAATAGCTTATCGGTTTGTTTATTTGCATAGTACACTGCGGTCTCGACAGAGCTTACCTTGTTCCGCTTACTTACTATCAATCTTGTTCCGCTTTAAATGCGAGCGCAAGTTTAACAAACTGGTGGTAATAAGCCGCAAACAAGTTACAAACTTAGCTGACTGGGTACTGTACAGTAATTTCTGGCTTGTTTTACTTACGCACTGTTTAGCGCTCGTGTTGCAGGCTTCGCACAAACAATACTTCTTAACCAAGCATATGTCGAAACTGATTTTGATACGATTACCAGGAAATGTTGCCGGACTGTAGCTTCTCGACGAATAAATGTATTAACGATTTATAAATTCTGCACTTCTACGTGATACATAAAGATCTCTGTTTCACATGTTACCAACAATGTTTCCCAATCTTCATGTCTTATAAAGCATTTCTGAAAAGCGTTCTGTTTCCGGCAGTTCCTCCTGCAACCTGCATCTTGGGAGCAGAGAGGATGCCGAACACGGAAAACCTTCGAAAATTGTAAACAAAAGCGTTATGTTCTAAATCTGAATATAATTATAAGACTTGTATTACAATAGCGCCAAACGTCTGATTGACTAAGTAAGCGGGCCGATTATACTTTTATGATTTTTATCCTCATTGAAAATGATATTTACAAGGAAGCTTCGCTGAATGTCTCGTGAGAAAAAACGAGACGCAACGTCAGATTTTTCGCCTTATGTACTTACTCTTACTGCTGTTTGTTGACGGAGTCCGCACTCCGCAGTAGTATTGTTAATGTGGGACTGTTCTGTCGGCTACCTTAGATTAACGGGGTGATGTGCGTGATGAGTGACGACCGATGGGCGATGGCTCCACATTCAACAGTACATACCTAACTTGAGCATAACTAGGTATTCAATGATAATATTACTTACTAGCAGTCAGCAAATCAGTTTCCTCACTGTTTTTGTGACGGGACAGGAATTGCTGAATAGTGTTTTTAACGGAAATAAAGTTCACCAACCCTTTCCTCATAGCTGACTTATTAAGAACACCGCAGGTGAAGGTTACCATTCGTTTCCTTCACCTGCGACGTTCTTTTATATTTACGGCTCTTGCTACTCCTGTCCAATGCTATTAATCCGACAAGGGAATAAGTTTAGGATAACGGAGATGTCCGCACGCAACAAGTTTCACACTGATCTGAGGTGGAATAGGAAAAAATCAGCGTAACGCACGTGTTCCCTCATGACCACATTCAAACCCAGATGATCAGCGAATCCAACAGGCCATGTTTAGTGGCTTGCTTGGAATGCGGGGCATAGAGACCAAAAATGCCGTACCAGGTATTTTAACACATGGGCGGAACTTGCCCTGAAGAGGCGATTGGTACTTATGTAATATGCCGTATGCGTAAATTAAGAGACTCACCACTGACACCGCATATTCTACAACCTGCCGAGATGGAAATTACTTTGAGCGATTTTACTTTGAGGTTACTTTTTACAGGTCAGGTTCGCTCTCGTTATTCTTCGCTCAAGGTTAATGGTTAATATCTACAATATTAAATAGTGAAATCATAAAATAGTAAAACCGTACAGTCGACTCCGTTTTAATTTCGCAAGCATCGTTCACCACACTTCTTAACAGCATGAATACCAACGTTTTCCCCCAAGATTACATGGAGGAAATCCTAATGAAACTTTTTTTAAAAACCCGAACCCTGCTGGATTTGATCGGCAGACCCCGCGATCCGGAGATCCGGGAGCATCTCATCGATTTGCTTAAAGGATTCCAAAGCATGGAAACAATGAGAGACAGAATCAGAAAAATTTTCAAAAGCTTGCGGAAGAAAACGCGGACCTCAAGTGGCAAGAGCAGGTGAGTGTACTTCGATAATGAATAATGCGCTCGACTGATCGCAAGGTTTATCTGTTGCATGTTTGCATTCGATGGCCTTTAACGAACGGTTTTGGTGGCAGTGAGCCATTGTGCATCCTATCGCAATGAGCGCAATTCCCATCGAATCTATCTACAAGACTCTCAAAAGTAAAAACTGGCAATGTGCAAAGTAAAGGTTGGCATTTTTGGATTGGTTAGTGCATTAATAAAACCAAAAGTGAAACTGTTTTGCAAATTGCAGCGCCCAGTAGAGCTCTAAATGTGCGTGCTTTGTCGGATCCTAAACACGTTGTGCCTGTTCCGTCCGCGGTCGTGGGACAAGCAAACGGAGCTCCCAATATCTGTACAGCTAATGGTACAGTAATAATTAAAAAATAGGTAACGTTACCCTTTGTACTCGCAAAGATTCATCTAATATCGGTTTCGGTTTCAGCTTGGCAGCCGTACAATGCACTGACTATCGATAAAGCGATGGTGGAAAAGCCCTCGGAAACCATGAAACTGTCCGTCTTTATGGTACGCTGTTAAACGATCATTTTTAGTACATTACCGGATCTCTTTGGTCGCTTCAACCTGAATCGTCAGCGCCCTGACCTCTTCCCGGTTTTCCTGAGATCTCGCTGGAAATGCTCGCAACAATTGTGAAAAAAACGAACAAAGATGAATACGCGTGCTGGTTTCCCCCACAAACTTTATCTCTTGGACACACCAGCCGAAAATATTTAAACCTTACTTAATCAATGGGTGCCAGTAGGAATAAAGCGGGAGAACTTTTATGCCTCCAAAGAAATGTTAATTATTGAAGTCCACAGGAAGCAGCAAAGTGCAGCATGTCATAAGATGCACCACAGGTTGAGATTAACAAAAATTAGACCAATTTTTGCATTTTGAATGTACTTAATTGCACCATTGATGGAGTCGTGTCTAATACCAAAGGACCTACAGAGTTGTTTAAGGACAAAAAGTCTGCGGAATTTCTTTCCTTTGGTATCACCGACCAGAGCGCAAAAATGAGAGAAGCATTGTTTCAGGACACCATTCCACAATTCGCATTATTTTTTTACGGAAGGAAATAAGTTGAGAATCACTAATCCGCGGTTTGTACGGAAGAATCCTAATTTTGCCGCTTCTGACTACGAAACTAATTTTGAAATTCATACCAGACAAAACACGGTAGTATGAACTTCAGAAAAACTTATTAGATTTTGTTCATTTATGAATTGCAAGCAGATGTTGTTCCTGTTGACATAAAACTGCCATGCTTTAAACGTACTGGCATGCTGGCATACCGGCACACTTTATACAGGCCATAATTATAAAGGCCATTACGTATTATAAAGGCAACAATCATAAAGTAGAGGGATCGCGTTGCGTGAGTACAGGCAGTGAATTAAGTACGTACAAAACAACCATACAGACTCTATAATTATTGACCTGCAAGAAAAGTTCCTTGTAAAACAGAATTCCCTAAGAATAGTCTTCCAGTACATATACCAAGATTCTGCTGTAGCATCCATAAATTCAAACGTGATCTTTCCAATACTTTCCAATACTTTTACGTGATCTTTCCAGATCCAAATGGTTTCGAATTAAAGAAAAACGAGTATAAGGTGGCTCACAGCATCTAAATATAAACAGAACAACGACCGATCGTTTCTACTTTTTATAAGCAATGTTTCTTTATTATGTATCGGGGACACAATTTATAATTTTAATAGACCGTGCTCAATACAAAACTTAAAAGCGTTTTCATCAGAATCATCAATGAGTTTCAAAAATTCCTTCAGTTTCAGGATCATGGTTTTAAATACGTACTACCATACTTGCTATGCCATTCAAAATTTACTGAAGAATGGTTGCAGAATACTGCAACTATTTTGCTGCTCATACAAATGATACAATTATCGGTGACTATTGCAACACGTAATATAATTATATAAAGGTCGTGCTGTATACGTGACACTCTCGCAATCTTCGCAAGCCCGCAGTCTCGCAGCTCCCCCCGAGAGCAGCTGTGCAATCCCTCAGCTTCGCAAGCGCAATACCGCAGCCTAGCAACGACGCAATCCCCCAACACCGGCACCGAGTCTGGCAGCATTCTCGCGCCGCTACAATTCTGAATTTTTATTTTATTCTAGTCCACTTCTGCACAAGTATCTCTCCATCTACAATGCGAGCAAGAAAGGAAGCTACGGGTTTAGGGTATGCGTTGTAGTGAAGACAGCGAAAACCGGTTTGTACAGCTAGTACGCGCACAGACAGCCACACTCATACGTGTGTAAGTGAATGCGAGATTTACCTCCACACACACATGTGCGCGATCGATCGATACAGCAAGGCAGCACTCCGCTTGCGCTTTTTGGCAGCACCGGAATGCGCTGTCTTCAGTCTATTTATAGTCACAACAGAGAGGCTGCATCGATCAACCAGCCTCAGCGGGCAGAAAAGGCTGTTCGCTGGCTTTTTAACATAGGCCGTAGCCTCCTCATTTAGTCAGATTGTATTACGCAGCTCCAATCCAATATCAGGCCCGAGATAGCAAGATCACTGCGAAACACTAAATATACGGGACAGACAAAAGGGCAAGTGAAAATAAGGGATACCCAACCACGTGTTGTGCAGCGCAGCCAGCTATCAAGGGTGGCGGTCCACGTACTGTACCGTAAAGGGGGCCGCACTCCTCCATGGACGAGTATGTTAACATCAAACGCTCATTTTTCGTAAACTTTTTAACAAAACTAATTTATCAGTGTACATTTATCGTTTACTTTGGAAATAAACTAATTGACCGATGTATCAAAAAATATTACAGACGCAAAAGAGCAATGGAAATTTGCCACATCTTGACCAAACAGCTTCAAACCGCTCGTTCCAGCGAGATATGTCAGACATACTGACATAATCATCCGCAGTGTCCTTTTAGGTACTCACAGTACGAATTCTTTTGGCGCTAGTAACTTCAAGAGAACGACATCGTTTTTTTGT